TTTGCTAAAACAATCCTGAATTAAAAACAACAAAAAGAAAAAAGTTGATTTTCCTTACTAACTGACCACCTCCAAAAAATTGCATTCTATGACTACTATTCATATAATCCAGTTGTATTTATTATGTTGCAAATTTGATGAAAGAAACCTCAACAAGTATTAATCACTCCCATATGGAATATAGACCCAACATTAAAATCTTTCATGAACAAGGGAATTACACAGTGGAGATTAATATAATTCTTCAGTTGTATTGTCAAGAACTTTATGTTTTCCTTGAAAATGAGGAAGGTACAATACAGCCACAAAATATCACTGACTGCAGTCTGATAAACAATTTTGAGAATTGTCTGTATCTTTATATTTATATGGTTCACACATTCACTGTCAGAAAGAGACTTTCAAAGACTTCAGTCATGCAAACTACTATATACAAAAAAGTAGATGTTTCTTTATATAATTGAGAACTGAGGTTTTAGATTACTGCCCAGATAGCCTTCGACTTAAAACCATTTCTTTAGTGTCCGTTAAAAGTTACAGCACTGAAAAAAAGTGACATGACCAGTCCTCGTATTTACAAACATCACAACATCCCCACAATTTTATCACAATTAAGGCATTTGGCAACCAGCATGTATTGATTATGGTTGAAGCATCCTGGGGTCATGTGATCACTATTTGCAGCCTTCCTGGGCAGTTCCTGAAAACTGAAGTCAATGAGGGAAGTCAGTTTCACTTAACAATTGCATGATTCACTTAACAACTGAAGTGATTCACTTAATAACCATGGCAAAAAAAGTTGCAAAATTGGGCACAACTCACTTAACAACCACCTCTTAGCAATGGAAATTCTGCCCCGATTGTGGCTGTAAGTTGAGGATTATCTGTGGTTCTCTGTAATATTTCCAAAATACTATGTCATGAGGTAAAGTAGTTTTTATGACATATTTATCCCAAATACCCGTTAGAATTAATACTACATCACAATATCAACTTGCCATACAGAGATTTAATGATGCAGCCAGCAGCTGCTTCCCAATCAATATTTTATAAAAAGGAAGCCAAGAGAAGAATTCTTTTATTAAATGGATTGCATTTAATAAAACAGCACCAACAGCAAAAGTAATAGCAATGGATATTAATAAATAAATTAAAATTTCATTTGCGGTAAGATTACCACTCCCCATTGATTTATAATTTAAGAGGCATTCTGCTGTTAACAGTAAACAGACATTCATCCAGATAGCCAGACTATTGAAGAAATATACACGGAACACAGGCCTTTAATAATGTCATTGGCTAAACTGAAACTCTTTTGATGAAAGAGGCTTTAATTTCACAAATAACACTAGGCATTTATTTTATCTACAGTAAATTTATGTGGAATGGAATTTGACTGAATATCAACTTTTATGGACATTATAGGAAAGTTATTATTTATTTTTCCTTTAAGATCTTGGCAATTAATTATTTAACTCCAATGTATCATAAACTTTTTTCCTCTAAGCTGAGAGCAACTAGACCACGGGTCGGCAACCCGCGGCTCCGGAGCCGCATGCGGCTCTTTCAGCCATCTCCTGCGGCTCCCTGTCCTCAGCCACCATGTGCAGTCCGGAAAAAAAAAAGTAGGACTAAAAATATTCAACCAATCAATTCAAACTTCTCACGAAGTTTGAATTGATTGGTTGAACTTCTTTGGTTTGTGGGACTGCCCACAAACCTCTTTCCTTCTTTGGACTGCACGTGGTGGCAGTGGAGGAAGAGCCAGAAGGATTGTTGGAAAGGCGGCAGAACCTGGGTAAGGAGCCAGTCTCAGGGTGCCTCTTCCCTGCCCGGTGGGTCTCCCCTCGCCCTGCTGTGCTGCCGCCTCTGCCTCTGTTAGTTGGAGGGGGGTCGCCTTGGGTCTCGGTAGCTTCCCCACTCCACCTGCGCCTTTCAGCCATCTCGTGAGTTGAGAGATTCCCCCGCGACGCCTGCCCAGCCCTTTCCCCACCTGCTGCGTGGCGCCTCTTGGCTGTCCTCCCGCTGCCGCTGCTGCCGCAGGGCTCTCCACCACCCGGCCGCATCAGTAGCACCTTCCTCGACCCGGGCAGCTGCGCCCCATCGCTGCCCAGCCCCACCTCGGCCCGGGCAGCCACGGCCCTTTGCCGTCCTCCCTTGCCGCCGCTGTTGCGGGGCTCTCCATCGCTCGGTCCCATCGGTGGCGCCTTCCTCGGCCCGGGCAGCCGTGCCCCTTCGCCGCCCAGCCCCTCGGCCCGGGCAGCCACGGCCCTTTGCTGTGCTCCCCTTGCCGCCGCTGCCGTGGGGCTCTCCACCACCCGGCCCCATCTGTGGCACCTTCCTCGGCCCGGGCAGCCACGCCCGTTCACCCCCTGGCCCCACCTCATCGGGGTGCAGAACTGGGCTGCGGACGCCTCCCCAACCGGGTGGAGAGCCTGCGCCTCCCCTTTTCCTGCGGCCGATAGTAGGACGTTAGAGCCGCCAACTCTGGTCTCCACCCGGGCGGGCGAGCAAAACCTTTTTGGGACGGGCTCTGAGCAATTGCATGCTTCGGGGAAGGAGCTTCCTTGGCAGGAGCCGAGTTTGCAAGCCTCGTTGGCAAGCCGGGAAAACCGAAGGTTTGGAGGATTCCCTCCTGCTTTCGGGGTTTTGCTCGCCTGCCCACCCAGGTGGAGAGCCTGCGCCTCCCCTTCTCCTATGGCCGGGGAAAGAGGGCTGGCCCCGAGCCTGTCCTGGAGGACTTTTTAGGCCCCAGATACCCCCCCACCCCTTCCCCCGTCAGCCCAGGGCAGGCACTGCAGCTCCGCATCAGGAGGGAACCCTCCAGACCTTCGGTTTTCCCGGCTTGCCAACGAGGCTTGCAAACTCGGCTCCTGCCAGGGAAGGTCCTTCCCCGAAGCATGCAATTGCTCAGAGCCCGTCCCAAAAGGTGCTGCTTCCCTGGCAGGAGCCAGGTTTGCAAGCCGAGAAAACCGAAGGTCCGGAGGGTTCCTGGGCTGATGGGGGAGGGGGTGGGGGGTATCCGGGGCCTAAAAAGTCCTCCAGGACAGGCTCTGTTGAGGCAGAATTCAAATCACAGGCATTGAGGAGTTTTAAATATTCAAACCAAGAAATCAGACTCCATGAAATCAGCGAGACTTCCCCCGCATGGTATGCATAACGTTGCCCCTCAACCCTCACTGAAGCCACTGAGCAAATGAGGGAGTCCGTCGTTGGCAACATTACAAGCCGATGCTGAGGCTTCAAGTCAGTTGCGCCCATTTAACCCACACATAACTGCCGCCCAGGATCAGCTCCTTAAGCTGAGAATTGCCCTAAAAGTCGGTTAAATTTAAAACATTTAAAACTGTTAATGAAGCCCCCTAAGCATTCTACGTGTGGGAGGATCCCTTGCGCTCGGCTGTTAACCAGCTCTTTTGTGGGAGGGGTCGTGCAGGGACCGTTGATTGGGTGAAGCGAGCGGGGGCGATTCCATGGGAGAGAAGAGGCAGGGCATTATCTCTACGGTTACGGGGGAACACAAATCACAGCGGAGCTTTCATCTCATGCTGTTGCCAAAGTGAAGCGGCGAAACCCCGCTTGGCCTCATCCTGCAGTAAAGTCTTCCCTGGGCGGCCCTTTATCCGTGTTCTGTGCTGGCAATACCCGTGAAAATGATTTCATCGAACTCATTTGTGCCGCCCCTCGCGTCTTAGTCAAGATTGTCAAGAGGGGATGAAGTACCACTCTGTGATTGTTGGGGAGGGAAGTGTCATTCATTTACCATATTTTTACCTCGCTTTTTGGTCAGTGCACTCAATTCAGAATCAAGCCCCGTTACGTGTTGCACACATTTTGCGGCTCCCAGATTTTTTTTGTGAGGGAAACGGGTCCAAGTGGCTCTTTCACCATTTTAGGTTGCCGACCCCTGAACTAGACATATGTGGACCTTCCTGAGGTATAGATTGGAATTTGGTGTTATCATGAATATAATATCTATCTTTATAGAAGAATTCTAGTTTAAAAGTAAATGCTGAGACACTCTTTTGTAAAATATTGGAAAGGATACTGTCTGAATAGTAACTTTAAATCAATTACTTAGTAATAATTATTTAAGGAAAATTATGTGTTTATTTATTTAAAAGATTTTTAAATTTAGCTAAATCTGGAGCCTAGTCATCTAATGTCTTCATTGACTGTCAATACCTGAAACTTGTATTTTAGAAGAGTTTTAAAGAATATTTGCTTTTGTCCCTGAAAAAAATCATAATAAATGTGAGTTGATCTTATGAAATAGTACACTAATCAATTTCTTTCTCCAATGGACATCAACATTCCAAACATAGGAGTCTTATCAAAGCACAAAGTCATTTTAAAAATCACATTCATTGTGATATCTCAGTGCAAACTCCAAATTCAGGTATGTAAGGAGCAGGTTTCATTATGTCACAATATAAGTTACAAACTTGTCCACATATCACATAAGCTGAAGTCACAATGGCCAGTGTCTTATCTTTGTGCAACCAACACCCAAACAAGATTACAATAACCACCGCTACCCCTGTAGATAGCCGGCCTCAGTAATGTCACCGGTAAAGGACATTTCTCAAAGAATTCTGAGCCTTATTTCAAGATGACAACACTTAAGAAAATGAGAGCAAATTTCCATGACCAAATATTTCAGCAAGATTTAAGAACATTTTTCATTGATTTAATCAAATTTAATCAAAACAGGCAGCCAATATCTTCTTATCCCAATACATAGTGTAATAAATATATTAATGTTAAAATATGGGTGTTATATCCAATTTCTATTTTGCTAAAGGTTAATAAAAGTAATTCCAGCTTTTCAATCATTTCATATAAGTGTATTTGTGTGATTCTCTGGACTACGCCCAATGCATCCAAATAAGTACATTGGAGTTCACAAGTATTAAATGAAAATAAAGATGTTAGTCTTTAGGGCACCAAAATTTGTGGAATTTTTGAATTCTTTAGCAAAAGTTGCTTAAGATTTTAACTTAAGCAGGTTCTGTATTTTGATTTGTAATCCTTTGATTAAACATCATCCATAAAGCAGCTTTGATATCCTTATTCCTCATGCTATAGATTACAGGGTTCATCATCGGAGGGATCACAGAGTAGATCACTGCAAGGACCACATCCCAATTGTAAGAAGATGCAGAATTTGATATGAATTGAGAAAACATACCTGTACCACATAATAAGCAGACAACAAGGAGATGGGGAATGCAAGTAGAGAAGGCCTTTTGTCTACTGGCCACTGAAGACATGCTCAATATGGTCTTAAAGATTTTTACATAGGACATGACAATTAAAATAAAAAAAACACCACAAAGCAAAGAACTAAAGAGAAGAACATGGATTTCACTGAATTTGGGGTCAAAGCAGGAAATCTTCATGAGGTGTGGGATTTCACAGAGGAACTGATGGATGACTGTGGAACAGAAGGGCAATGAAAAAAGGGTTCCTGCATGCATGGCAGCATTAAGAAAACCGAGCATCCATGCAGACCCTGCCATCTGGAAGCAGCTTCCCCATTTCATTACAGACATGTAATGTAAAGGATGACAGATAGCCACATATCTGTCATAGGCCATAGCAGTGAGAAGGAAAAAGTCTGATGACAGGAAGAAAACAAAGAAAAACATTTGCACAGCACATTCAGAATAGGATATCTTTCTTGTGTTCATGAGGGCACTGGCCATTGACCTGGGAATGGTGACAGAGGTGGATCCCAGATCAACAATTGCTAAATTGACCAGAAAGAAGTACATTGGTTTCTGAAGATGGTTGTTCATCACTACCAAAATGATGAGGAGAAGATTTCCTATCAGGATAGCCAGATACATCAGGAGGAAGACCACAAAGTGCAAAAACTGGAACTCCCGTTGATCAGAAAATCCCATAAGCAAGAAATCCATGATGATGGTTATGTTTGGCATCATTTTAGTGATATTTTAACTGTCAGAGAAAGATATATCAATTTAACAAATCTTCCATTGAATGATTCTATTTTTCAAAACTATACACTCCAATTAACTTATTTTCATTTTGATATGGTCATTCCTATAACAAGGAAAGCTATATAACTTCAAGTTAGTTCTTCAATAGTGACATCCTTTACTAAGGAACCAATTCTGCATGAAAAAAATATAATATACTGCAATAGATTATCATTTTACTTAATTATATAATTATATAATCTGGTTTAAACCTGAAGATTTTCAGCTGCATGACATCCTATAGATATGAAATACCTTAGGCTGGATTGCAAGCCTATTTAGATTGTTTATATATAATCGAGGGGCAATGGGGCCTGTTATTTTGGTATTTCACTGAAGTTTTATCTTTTGGAAAACAAAGGCCTTATAAGCTTTTTCAGTGATGACATGATCCCAGATATAGACCAACCATTTTATATTAATGGTAATATGATATCTCCTGTGTCACAAAGGCCATATCTTGAACTGAAAAGACAGTTCTTCATAGCTTTGAAATGTTAGAGATAGTCCTTTCTTCTACTATTACAAAGATTTTATCTGCAGCCATGAAATATATTCATGGATATGAACTGTCAAGAGAAAGTGCAATGTTTGTTGATTAGCACAAAACTAGTCCTTCATTTGTTTTATTGATCATATTACATTTCTCCTCTTAGGTTTTAGCCTATTTTTATCAAAACTATGAATATAACAACAAAACCCCTTTGTTAAAATGCATAAGACAGGTAGCCTGTTGTATCTTTCTTCAATAACCTTTATAAATTTTAAAATATAAAAACTTACTTTTTCCCCATTGATCCTTTTAAATTGATAATGAAAATAGTAGTACAAGCCGGTCTGTATCCACTTTTTTCCTTTTGTTTCTTAATATTTCTTTTACGACTTCTTGAGATCTTTTTGTGGAAGACTTACAACACACCTTTAGCTCAAGTATAAATGCATGAAGATTGATGGGGTATTATATAATGGAAATGAATCCTTAATTTGGATCCAGAGATTATTATTCTTATTCAAAAATAGACTTAAATTTTAAAAAACAAAGAATAAAGTAAAATATTTCCTCACTATATCTTTAAACTCTCAGTCTATAGCTATTATTCTTGTAATCCAGCAGTTACATTCAGAGATGACTTTTTTCTCAACATTTCATAACTAGTCCCATAAGGTTATAACTAGTTATAACACAACATCAAAGGCTTCTATATACAAAGGAATGATTGCACAATGACAACTTTAGTGGTGGCAGACGCTATTCTCCAGGGCACTGCAAGGACATAATGTTTACTTTCAACAAGAGGAATGTACAGTAGAGGTACAAAATATTACTAAGAGTAATATTATTTTAGGAAGTAATGAAATGTGGAAGTTTATCTTTCTGTAATTAAGGATGGATATAATATCTGATGTTTTCAATCACTGCCTTTAGTTTCCCAAAATATTATGTCATGAACTAAAACAACTGTCCCTTATAGACCATTGTATCTATCCCAACTATTCCTTACAAACTTGCCCACATATCACATAAGCTGAAGTCACAATGGCCAGTGTCTTATCTCTGTGCAACCAACACCCAAACAAGATCACAATAGCCACCGCTACCTCTGTAGATAGCCAGGCTCAGTATGAGATTGCAGTGGGTGATTACAAATTCTGTGTCAGGAATTATAGTGATATTAGTTAAATATTGTTCAGTTTTCTCAGATATCCAGACAGGCATCCCTTGGTTATCTACTCTTTTCATGGCTGATATTTGACCCCAAACTGACTGATCTTCTCACAGAAACTTCCTGTGGATATAAAACAACAGTGAAGAGTATGTCAAGATAGAGAGATATCCTCTCCCCCCCCAACATTGATTGGAAATGATTCAGGAAGGAAGAAAACTAATAGAATACTCTGTTCCCTACTCCCAATCCCTGAATTTGGTCCAGAAGGATATAATGTTCAATGGCATTGAAAACCACTGAGAGATTAAGGGCAGCTATAATGAATGCATCATCCCATCTTATTCCCATCAAAAGTAATCCATAAGAATTAAGAGTGCTGCTTCATACCCAAGTTTGAAAATTGACTAAAAGGATCCAGATAATTCCTCCAGAGTTTTCTGAAACTGCAGTGTTTTACATCCTCAGGGGAAGATTTGAGATAAAACAAAAATGGCCGGTGATGGTCCACTGATGGCTTTTTGAGAAAGGATTGTACCACCATCTCTTCTCGGCATCAGTGGGAATATTCCTCTTTCAAGAATGAATTTACCACCATCAGAACCAATTACACATTGTCTCTTAAGAAGCCTTACCTAACCAGGAAGGACCCAAAACTAGTATGTAGATAGTCAAACTTAGAAAACCAAGAGCCTTGTCCATTAGGACTAACTGGATCAAATTCATCCCAGAAGACAAAGACTGAATCTCATTCACTTCATGGGACCTGCCTCAAGGCTAAACTCAAGTTCAGAGCAGATTCAAGTGACTTTATTCAGAAGATGCAAGGCATATTCCTCACAATAGCACTGCATATGAACCTTCAGCTTCTCTTTTTCCTGAAATGACAGGAACACCAGATGGCTATCCACAAATATTATAATGGCAGAAAAATATTGATGATTTACTATTGTACTGAAACAAGGTAGACCTTAACAGTACCTGTAATGTGTGCTTAACCAGGTTCCCCCCTTGTCCTTCATTACTGTGGCCGACATCTCTTACCCTATTCCTGGTACCTTAGCTCCTCTGTAAACCTGTGAGACTTCAGGATCCCTAAGAGGAGAGAGTTTGCATAGGGGTGATTCAATCCAAGGCCCCAGCTGTTCTCTCATTCACAATGGTGCCTTAGGCCTCGGTTGGACCTTGCATTAGACTTGCGGGGATAGCCCCAACCTGCTTCATAGGATCCAAAAGGTGCCTGGGACACATTAATTGGATATGTCCTACCTTCCTGCATCCTGAAAGAACACTCTAGGGCAAGTGATGAAGCCCTGACAGGGAATAAGGGTAATCTCCCCAAATCTTGGATCACATTACCACTACACCAACAAGAAAATCAGATCTGGTATATGATCACCATTCTAAGTCAGACTTTTAATCACTTGGGTCAGCACCATGGTTGTCATGATAGCCATAAACTCCCAGTTTATCTCAGATTCTACCACCAGAAAAGACAGGCTGAAGTCCTTCAAGACCTTAAGTCTAGAGAAGACCACTACCAGTCAGCCATGGAATCAAGGAGCTCAGACAAGGAGAATATTATGCAGTAGGGAAAATGGTATAGTAGCAGCAATCCCAACTGATCTATAGAGAGCAAATGGGGTCTTACAACACATCTGAAAACCACTGGTGTATCCTAGACCAGGAGTCTCCAACCTTTCTGGGTTGGCAGCCCGGTGAGAGAGGGAGGGGAAGGCACTTTATGCACACATGCACAAAATGACTGTGGCTATACGTGTGCGTGCATGCACAAACAGGCCACAAGCATGCACACCATGCAAACATGCACGTGAGGCTCTCAGCGATGCTGGCGCCTATGTGAGGTGATGATGTTGCCAGGCTCATGGCAATGTTATCATCAGTGTGAAGCTCGCACCATGGCCCGCAGCGATGCTGCCACCAGCATGAGGCTCATGCCATCGCCCCCGCGCGAGGCTCATGCCATGGTCTGCATAAGGTTCATGGCAACACCACTGCCCACACAATACTAGCAATGCTGCCACTGCCCGCACAACACTCGTGGCAATGATGGCCCCAGGGGGTATGAGCACACGTATGCATGCATTGCCCAGCTATTCATGCCACCTGGTGTCCAAGAGGCCATGGCCTGATCCTGGGCAGCAGCCCATAGGTTAGGGACCTCTGTCCTAGACTACCAATATTATTTCACTAGTTCTACCCTGGGCTCTCAGGTAATGCCATAACTGAAACCTAGGCAGGCACATTGTTGAGAGGGGAACTCCTCCCTCCATGCCCAAGTCTCAGTAATGCACATAAGCTCAGCCCTCCTATATGTGATTAGTTCATACTGGGTAGAAGTCTGAACAGCACTCAAGGAACCCAGCAACACCACTGCCAGCCTATTCATGTTTCCATGTTGCCAATCTGCAATTGAAAACCACCACTGCCAGAAGGGATGTGTCAATGCCACTCAAAAGAACCTTTCACTAGCTTCCCCAGTGCTGCTGACCTTCTCACAAAGGGAAGAATGGAGACTTATCCTTTCTCCCCAATTCCAAATGGCATGGGAGAGTTTAATATGTATTAGATAGTCCCACTGAAGCCTTTCTCATATAACACAAAATTCCTGCAATAGAATCTGCTAAGTTTAGAAGAAGGGAGGTGATTCTGGAACCCTATTCTCAGACCAGATAGAAAATAGAATATATAACATAATATATATGTGCAAATGTGGTGTGCAATATTTCAAAAGTGTTAATGTTAATGAATTATTTAACATTTACACAAAGAACATTGTATATCTAAAATATCATTTCCTAATTAAAGTACAGTTCACACCTTGGGCTGTCATGCATATAATTCCTGTAAATACAGGATTTTTCAGTTTAATAATTTCTGAAATTGATATTTTTGAATTTCCATATGAGAACCAAAGTAATGTATTGAAACCACCATGAAGATTTCCAGACTAACAATTCATAATATTATCCCACCATTAATGGTAGCCCTCAGTTTATGACACTTGAGATCAAAATTTGATAAGTGGGCCCTGTCCAATTTTATGACCTTTTCTGCTAAGGTTATTAAATGAATGACAGTTTTTAAGCGAATCGTGAAATAATTAAGTGAATCCAGCTTCCCATTGACTTTGCTTGTTAGAAACCAGCTGGAAAGTCACAAATCATGATCATTTAATCCCAAAATGTTGCAACCATCATAAATACATGCTGGATTCCAAGTGCTCAAATTTGGATCACTTGACTTTGGGGATGTTGC